TCCCTTCAACTGTGGTGTGGCTTCAGTTCTGATTTATAAATGATATGTTCAGTCTCCAGACCTTTGGGCCGCAAGCATCTTCTCTTCAGACAAGTTTCATTTGCTTTCTGATTTTTATGCAGTTCACTTGGACTGTCATTGCAGTCTGTCTTCCTGGTCCTGGATGTGTTTTCTTCTGGCTGAAACTTTGTCCTGATGAATGAATAAAATGTGAAGCCTTGTAAATGAAACATTTGAAGAATTTTTTTTTTTTTTGACTTTATAGTTTATACACAGGCGAATTCAGATTGGTTTGGTTTTATTACGGTTGGATTCAGTTTTTATTAATAAAAAAATTTATTTTATATAAAAAAAAAATTGGTTTTTTTACATGGTTGGATTCAATTTTTCAGTTTAAAAAAAAATCATAACTATCTAAGTTTTATACTTATAATGCCTATGACACCGAACGTAATCAGAGAAAATAATCAGAGCGGCGCGTGCGGTGGTGGAGGCGAGCCGAGAGTGGGTGATATTCCAGGTGGTGAACCACGGGAACCCGTCAGAGCTCGTACGGCGCCTGCAGGAGGTCGGAAAGGATCTCTCCGAGCTCACGGCGGAGGAGAAGGCGGCCATCGTGGAGTTAATATCTAATCGTTTCTTCGACTACAAACAAAGTTAAGTATAAAAGCTAGAAGATTAAAAATGAGGAGGACGAAGAAACCTGAGATGGATCATGGATTGAAAGATTTGACCAATTCTACTACTCGTGTGATCACTCTTTCATAAATATGTTCATTGGGACTTCACTTGATCATTGGCATTGTCCAAAAAAAGTCTCCTAGACATATATGTACATAGACAAAATCTAAGATTCCATGTTGATGCAGAGATGGGCAATGGTCAACACCCAAAAAAACAGGAGCAGCTAGGGTTCTGGTCTATCCCTCTGTACCCAAACCAACATCTTGATTAATCAACATCGATTACTTCCTCTGTCAGGCTGCTGCTGCTTACACATTGTCTGCTTGCGCCGCCTGAAGAAGATGAAGAGCTTCTCTTAACCTCGACAACATCTTCAATGATCCTTGGCGTTTGTCTTATTAACCTTTCTTGCTCTGCAGGTTTCTCGAGCAGGTCTCTCTGCTCTAGATACTCGAGCAGCGTACAAAGACAAAGTTAAGGTTTTGCAGTGAATATCCGATCTATTTCCTTAATCAGAGGTAGTGGAAGAAGTATGATGATAATGACAATGGAGAATGCAGCTGAATATGCTAGATGGTAAGATAATTGTTGCTTTGCATGATAAGAATAACAAAATCGAAAAGGATATTCGGCCCTCCATCCTTTCTCGTTCGCATGGTTAATGCAGTTCCGTAGAATGACAAGCTGCCTTGCAATCCACTGATCCAAGTATCCATGCATATACACAGTAAGCAGAAGCATCAGTATATATATATATATATATGTGTGTGTGTGTGTATAGATGCTTTCAGGCTATACTCACATGTCTTGTAACGTCCTCGTGCAGAACCTTAGCCTTCTCTTCCATCTCCAACTGTCAGGAAAACAATGACAGCATAAGAGTTCTATAGGAGTTGCAACCGGGGGTGTAAGTTGCTTAGGTTTGAACAATTTTATACTTCCAGAGATCCCATCATGTTAATACAGTCACTACAGTTGGACTAAACAAGGTATCTCGGAAACAGTCTTTCGATAACCTTTCGCTTCAAATCATTAGCTAACATTAGTAAGGTACTTACCACAGTTGGTTGTCTCAAATGGCCATTCATAACCTTTTGCTTCAAATCTTCAATATCTTCCTGAAGAGAAACCACTTGAAAGTTTCAGGAAGCAACAGAAGAAAATATTCTGGTACAGAAGGAAATTTTGATCAGATAAAACAAGAAAACGCTCCACAAAGTTACAGAGATGGAAAACACAATTTATATTAGTAAAATGATTGGGGGGTACATTAAAGTTCATGCAGCAAATTTGTGTCATATATTTCTACAAGTTCAGAACAGCGCATAAGTAAGAGGATGAGAGGAAATGTAACCAAACACAAGATTAAGAACATAAACCTTAAGTATATTTCTCACCTCAGTTATGTCAGAATCATCCAGCTTAGAAATGCAAACATGACTTGACACACCAGAAACATGAAGAAGTACACCTCTGCTCGGGTCATCAGCAGTTGAATTCCTTTTAAGGCCTGTGGCAAAGGAAACGGAGCAGGAGGAACACGTTACACTTTAACAAGAGAAAATTTGCAGTACCATTATACCATCAATGAAACTAGAAGGAGATAAACAGGAAAGACCTACTTTCTAAGGAAAATACTTAAACTTAAAAGCTATTGGACCATTGGTCGAGGTTACCTGTAACCGGCAACAACTGGTAATAATTCCTATGGATACATTCTCGAGGATCATTCTTCACTTTCACAAAACTTCCCACCACTTTTTCCTCAAAGCTCTCATTCTTCTTCGATAGCTCTTCGACTAAGCTCTTCCTCAGATAAACAAGTTTAATATTGTCTGCATTAATTGACGCAAGCCCACTTGACCGGACTTCGGTTTTGGCTTCCTTTTCGCTGGCTTTCTCATCTGACTTCTCATGCTTCTTACATGGCACCAACACATTTTCACGTTTCTCACTGGAACAATCTTCTTCCAAACATATGATGTCGTCTTCTAATAGTTCAAAGTTCTCTTCAAAGCGAGTTTTCAGAAGATTATGAATACTCTTCATTCGCACTGACTTTCTCCTGAAGATGGGATGCAGCTTTTCATCGCAATGAACTTTCTTCTTTTTATCGTCAAGCAGGTTCTTATCGAAGATGTATCCGCGGATAATTGAAACCACATCAGAATGTTCCAGTTTTTCACCAGTATCCTTCCCTATGGATTTTAGGAAATCGACAAGGGGCTTTGTTCCCCTTCTGCTAAAATTCATTCTCTTCTTTTTGTGTGTTGGTCTGTAATCTTCTGCGTCCTCATTCTCACTATCAGACGGTGAAAATTTGGGATCTTCTTTGTACTTTCGTTTGCCTCTCTTTTTTCGGGGATTTGCAGAGCGCACATCTTCGACAGTTAAACCTTCACGGCCTTTTATTATGTCCCAATACTCAAGAAACAGACACTCAAATGTATCCGGATCTTTTAAGTCTATCTGCAAAAACGAAAGAAAATGGTATACAGAGTGTTGTAAATTATTGATGTCTTGACAAGGCAGGATATGTGCAATTAAAAAAATATATAAAACTTATCAAGGCATGCCCAAATGGCTACAAGAATCTAAGAAAGTTTGGGGAATAGGTTGGGCAAAGAAGAAAGGAAGAATTATTGAGATAAATGTAAAAAATAACACACAGAAAAATAGAATATAAAGACACAATGACACATACATGCTATGATAGTTTATGGAGATAAAAACATACCCCAGCAGGAGCATATTCCCGAATTTCTTCTAGAGTCAAGACTTCTCCCATGCATTCGTTACATAACCCTTTATCCCCTTTAATACATGAGAACTCGGAAATAGCAACACAGCCTCTACATAGAGCATGTGGACAGCAGAAACACCGTAGCTTTGAGGCCTTCCCACACAGGTAGCAACTGTGCCAATCTGGAAATGGGGTTTCACCATTCGCAAACCAAGAATAAGGATAAGAACCCAAAAAAATACAGCCTTCTTACAGCAAAAGGTATGGCATACAACTGTATGCCCCTTTAATGACACCATATCTGATAACTGCATTTAACAGCCCTTAGAATTTAACAAAATAGAGAGATTAGTTTTTGGAATTTGATGATCCAATGACAGATACTTTCCATCTCAGTGAAAATACATCAGAAACATGAGAGCTTACTACAGATGAAGCCGTCCCCGCTCTCTGTGACTGATTTACCCTTTGCAATGCAATCATCATCACGGTGATAAACTTTCGTGCACTTCCTGAAATCGACATACTCAAAACTTTACAAGATTGCAGTTCAAGTAAAGCATGAATGCAGAGTTCAATACACGTAATGACAGGCAAAAAAAAACACGGCAGGAGAAGAGAATCTTTCCTCGGACTATTCCTCAGAAAGCCTTGAAAATGGGTATAGATACTTATTTTATCAAATATAAGTATGCTCAAAAAACGTAAAAACCCTTAAGAGGGCTCGTCAGCAAACCCTAAACCCATGCAAAAATCTCCTATGTCACAAGCTCATACACTGATAAACAAAAAAAAAGGGCTCTTCCAATGATTGACGCTTCGCGTTTCTTCTTACTGAATTTCGCGTGTTACGATCTCTCTAGCGAAGAACGATCAGCGCTACACTACAATGTACCATGGAATCCATAAAATTTCTGCACTTTACACATAGAAAGAGAGAGAGAGAGAGAGAGAGAGCTCACGGGTATTCACAGATGATTAGGTCACCGCCATCTTTGCAGACGAAGCACCAGTCCTCGCACTCCTCCTCCACTGTCTCCGTCGGCATCTCCGACGTCTCTCTCTCTCTCTCTCTCTCTCTCTCTCTGCAACTCACAGAGTGAAAAGGAGGAGCAAATAAAGGAGAAACCTTCCGGCGGAATGAAATTTCGAATTTATTTGGGGGAAAATAGTAATAGTAAATATCGGAAGCGAAGAAGACAAGGGCAAAAACGTCACTATGTTTCTCACCACCCGAGATACGGATTTTGTGTGAGTTTCTGTTTTTACCCTTCACTGAAATCTCGACACGTCAGCAACACGATCATCTATAAAAGGATATTTTTGTAATTTACGTAAAGACCAAGATAGATACGCTCGGTTTGGTCCGTCGAAACGCTGCTGGATTTTGGCGGTTGCGGTTGGAATTTGGCGGCTATAATAATCTTTCTTCAAATAAGGATCGTCATATATAAATAATATTATAAATAGGACTTAATATATAATTTTATAATACCGTACCGTACATAATTTATTAGTCATCTTTTTTCATGTTTCTATTATATATTTCTTAAAACCAGCGCAAAAAATGATCGTTTTATTTTTATAAAATTGAATCATTTAAAATTATAATAATTTCATATAAAACAAAAACGGGAACGAGAAGGTGAATAATTTATTTTGGAGTTTTTTCCTATCAGCAAAAAAGTGAATAATCCATGTTATATATACATATATGATTATAAATTTATAAATTGTGAAAATAATAACAACAAGATATGAGTATGGAGAATCAAAATAATATTCGGAGTGAAGTAAAAAGGTGAGGATTGGCATTTTTCGGTGGAAGATCTTTGGCGAGAGACAGAAGTGGCTCTCAACGACAACATCAAGAAGAACATGTTCTTATATTGTTCCTTCCACCATTATATATTATTCTTGTGTGCTTCTTCATCACTCTATGCTTTTCTTTTCACTCTTTTTTTTTTCCAAAAAACGATTTGATCTCTTCACTTTCTTTTCATCGTATTCATGGGTTTATGTTTTACGATATAAAAGTTTCAAACTTTGGATAATTTTTTTAAAAAAAAAAAATCCAAAATTTAGCACTTTATTAGTTTCGATCACTTAAATATATATTAAATATTATGTAAGTTTGATAGTTCAACTACTTTTTTCTAAACATGATTCGAATTTCTATTTATTATTATGAGAGATGTAATCGGATCAAAAATTCGTTAGATTTTGAATTATAATATATATATTAAATATTATTGTTATTTAATATACGGATGTTGGCAACTTGGATTTTCTTTTTTTTACTTGTTAAAATGTTATATTAGTATCTAAAAAACATCAACATTTTAAAATGTTCATATATTTTGTTAGTTGAAAAAATAAAATGTTTTACTAAGAAAAATTTAATGCTATTTACCCCCACTCAAATTGTCCATTTCATGTGTTCCATTATTTTCTTATAAATTTGGATTTTCTTTGCCCATTCTCCCTTTCATACCCATTATTATTTTTTTTTTCTTTTGAGATATTTACACAAAGATTAGGTTCTTTTACAGTATTTAATCCGTGTAAATAAAGAAAATAAGACACATAAAATAATTTGCAAAAAAAAAACTTCTTTTTTAAAAAAAGATGAGACCAACTATGTCCTGTTGTATTCTCATGATCCAAAACAGTAAAAATTCCAACTTTAAAAACCAAGACTTTCCCCCTCAATAAACAAAAGGAACCTTCACCCACACATGCTTTTGCCTCCCCCTCCTACTAAGCATCTCTTTGCATTATCACTCCATTTTATTTGCATTCACAAAGAGAAAGGGAAAAAAAAAGCCATCTTTCCAAAAAGAAGAGAAATCAAATCTTTTATTATTGTTCATTCACATAATCCCCTCCCTTTCTTTGGTCATTTTCGCTAAGGGGAAAAAAAGAACCAAGAAATTGGAAAGACCACCATTAACAAAATCATAAAATTCACATATACACACACTCGGTGGTGGGATTCTCTTTCTCTCAAAGCAGAGAGAGAGAGAGAGAGAGAGAGAGAGAGAATGCCTTTTGTGGGTCCAATGTGGCACTAACTCAGGAGTTGTCTTCTTTGGATGATCTTCATTATTGCTGCTGTTATTGCCTTCATTTACTCTTCAAATCCCTCCATTTTTTTCTCCATCCCCTGTTTTGTGTTTTGTCTTCCTCTGTTTTCTCCACCGGTCATGGCTAAGACAGGTGATTAATCCTCTCTGTTCTTGTTTTTTATTTTCCCTTTTAAATGTCTGTTTTTTTTTTTGTTGGGTTTCTTGTTTTTGTTTTGTCTGGTGAGATGATTACATCCAATAGTCAAACGTTGTACTCTGTTTTCAGTTCCAGAACAGGAGCAAACATAGGAAAAGTTGGACTAGTTTTTTTTTTTATATGGGAAGCTCGAGCTCCATGGCCTTCGCATGGCCGCTTCTGATGAAAAAGCTCATTGAATCAACTTGATCGTCATCGTTTTCAGTACTGAAAAAGAAAAAAAAAACACTTTTGGCACGTGAGTTTATTTATGCAGCTAAGAATTCTTCTGTATTTTCAAAGATTTAGGAGATTGTTCCAGATGGAATCGTCGTCATCATCGCTTGCTCGTAAGCTGGTTCATTGTGTTTTCTTGCGTGAGAATCACTTCTCCATCAACGCAACCAGATGTGGAAGGTATATATATATACATACATACACATATATCCATATCAATGCTTTGTTTCATCTTCATGGACACGATCATTAACGTTATCAATATCCGTCAATGGCGAAAAAAACATCATAGGCGGAGCTCTGCTGGAGCTTAGAGACGCACTTAACGATTCAGACAACCGCTTGAAGTGGACACGCGATTTCGTAAGCCCTTGCTATAGTTGGTCTCATGTCACTTGCAGAAACCAGAGTGTTGTTGCTCTGTAAGTCTTTTTTTGTTTTTCTTGAACTTGTTCTTATCTGACATATCAGTTTCACATTTTCATGGCGTATTGTCACACAGCTTTTGATGTATGTGTGTATGTATATACAGGAGTCTTGCTTCTAATGGATTTACGGGAACCCTTTCACCAGCCATCACTAAGCTCAAGTTCTTGGTTACGTTGTAAGTTATCAGAACTTGTTTGGACAAGAAAGATTCAGACAACATCGTTCTTCTTCACCATTCTTTGGGTTCTGATTCATGCAGAGAATTGCAGAACAACAGCTTGTCCGGTTCCTTACCAGATTACATCGGAGAAATGGTGAATCTACAGACTTTGAACCTATCGATGAACAAAATCATCGGCTCGATACCCGCGAGCTGGGGACAGCTCTCTAATCTGAAGCACTTGTAAGCAGACATGAAATCTCTCTGTTTCTCTCTCGTCTGCTCCTTTGCTGCACCAAATGCTGAACTATTTCAGATCCAAACTTCTGTATTTGCATATCTGCAGAGATCTGTCCTCCAATAATCTAAGTGGAAGCATCCCAGTTCGGTTTTTTCAGATCCCGACATTCAAGTAATCTTCTTCTTCGTCCATATATACATATATAGGCCTTTTCTGTATTGTTCTTCGTATGTCTGACATTCTGTGCTTACAGTTTCTCAGGGACTCGTCTCATATGCGGGAATAGCTTGAATCAGCCTTGTGTTTCGGGTTCTCGTCTTCCAGGTTGTTCTTTCTCCTTAAGGCAATGATACCGTCCTCTGTTTCTCGCCATAACTAAAACACTTCCTTTAACTCTGTCTTAATCTGCAGTCTCGTCCTCCAAATCAAAACTAAGAGCCATTACCTTCACTGCAAGTTGTGTTGCTTTCGTAGTTCTGTTTCTTGGAGCCATCTTTATGTACCATCACCACCGTCTCCGCAGAATCAAACACGACGTTTTCGTGGATGTTGCTGGTAAAAAAAAAAAATCTTCTTACACCAGTATGGTGAACTCAGATTCTTGTAATGAAATCGATCTGTCGAAAGGATTTGTTGTTTTCAACTTTTTCGGGGCATTCTTGAAATGCACAGGTGAAGATGACAGGAAGATTTCCTTTGGACAGCTGAAGAGGTTTTCGTTGCGGGAAATCCAACTCGCGACAGATAGTTTCAGCGAAAGCAACTTAATCGGGCAAGGAGGTTTCGGAAAAGTTTACAGAGGCGTGCTTCCGGACAAGACGAAAGTCGCGGTGAAACGCCTCGCCGATTATTTCAGTCCCGGGGGAGAGGCCGCGTTCCAGAGGGAGATCCAGCTCATTAGCGTCGCTGTTCACAAGAATCTTCTTCGGCTCATCGGCTTCTGCACAACCTTCTCCGAGAGAATCCTAGTCTATCCGTACATGGAGAATCTGAGTGTCGCCTACCGCCTTAGAGGTATCTACCCGAAACCGTTTCCTGCAAACTTCATAAGATCACCATGAGTATTTTCCCGAGTCGCCAAATCTTTTAAGACACCGGAATTTGCAGATCTGAAGCCGGGAGAGAAAGGATTGGACTGGCCGACGAGGAAACGAGTGGCATTCGGTTCAGCCTCTTCAAATCCCTCCATTTTTTTCTCCATCCCCTGTTTTGTGTTTTGTCTTCCTCTGTTTTCTCCACCGGTCATGGCTAAGACAGGTGATTAATCCTCTCTGTTCTTGTTTTTTATTTTCCCTTTTAAATGTCTGTTTCTGAAGGCAGCAAATATCCTTCTGGATGATAACTTTGAACCGGTCCTCGGAGATTTCGGTCTGGCTAAGCTTGTGGACACATCAAAAACTCATGTGACCACCCAAATCCGTGGCACAATGGGTCACATTGCCCCGGAATATCTCTGCACCGGAAAATCTTCGGAAAAGACAGATGTCTTCGGTTACGGTATAACCCTTCTCGAGCTCGTGACTGGTCAACGAGCAATCGATTTTTCCCGTCTCGAAGAAGAGGAAAACGTTCTTCTGCTCGATCATGTAAGACCCTTCTCCTTATTCTCACCGGAATCTAGTTGAATACCTGAACTGGTCTGAAATCTGGGATTTGAATAAACAGATAAAGAAGTTACTGAGAGAAGAAAGAATCCGAGACATAGTAGATGGAAACCTGACCTCATATGAGCAAAAGGAAGTGGAAACCATCGTTCAGGTGGCACTGCTATGCACACAGAGCTCGCCCGAAGAACGACCGACGATGTCCGAGGTTGTCAAGATGCTTCAGGGGATCGGCGGTCTGGCCGAGAGATGGGCAGAGTGGGAACAGCTCGAAGAAGTCAGAAACCGAGAATCGTTGTCGCTCCCATCTCTGCCTGCGGCTTGGGCTGAAGATTCCACCCTCGATCAAGAAGCTATTCAGTTATCAAGAGCTAGATGAAGATTTCTGACACAATACAATCTCAGTAGATTTTTTTTTTTTTTTTTGCATTCCAGACAAAACTAGTAGTAAGATGTCTGGACTAGTTAAGTAACAAGCTTCTAACTGTAATAGAAACAAGAAAGAGGAGTCAGTATTGTGCATATATGAACATGTATGCATGAAAAACCCCACCGCCTGTATAATAGACGATAGTATATATATACATATATATACTTGTTGTATAATACAGAATACCGTGGATATGGACGAAAAATTTCTTCCAGGATCAACCAGAAACGAGTGATGCTTGTTTTACTGCAGAATACATGTTACAAAGCACAGCAAAGATAAAAACATTATGTAATATCATCGGTTCAATGCTCTGTTTCCAATATGTTCATTACTTCTTGTTCAATGCTCTGTTTTCTACTTTCCCTGGGCAGCTAAAAACCAGAGCATAGATCCAACACTGTAATATCATCGATTGAAACACCAAAAGACAAGCTTTCAGATCAATGGCACAAGAATATCCATTGTGATAAGAATCCGACAACACACTTTGTATGTCTCCGTTATTCAGGAAAAAAAAATGGAGCAACTTTCCCGGTAGTACAGAGGATACAGTTCAGCGACTACGTCTCTGCCCTCACATTGGCGCTAAAAACCAGAAACAAACGTGCAACGGAAACTTGAACTTTCCCGTCAGCACCACCACCAAAAGCGTTGGATTTTTTTCGTTATTGTCACAAAAAGACAGAAGAAATAAGCAAGAAAGAATGCTTAAGCTGCCGATTCCCTGGCAATCTTCTCTGCCTTGGCAACCACCTCGTCGATGCCTCCAACCATATAGAATGATTGTTCAGATAGATCATCATACAATCCATCAAGCACCCCCTGCAATGAATCACACATATCATTTGCCCACATATTCAATTTCAATGCACATAATCTATGATTCAGACAAAAACTACAATGCATTATCCATTCATGAGCAAATGAAGAGTAAAACCATAGCACACCATCACTTTTGAGTAAAGAACAGAGATCGTAGATGAAAGATACGAACCTGGAAACTCTTGATGTTTTCCTTCAGGTCCACATACTTTCCTGGGGCGCCCGTGAAGACCTCGGCCACATGGAAAGGCTGACTCAAGAACCTCTGGATCTTACGGGCACGTGCAACGGTCAGCTTATCGTCTTCACTGAGCTCATCCATACCCAAAATGGCAATAATATCTTGCAAGTTCTTATAGTTCTGTAGCACTTTCTGCACACCACGAGCTGTGTTGTAGTGGTCCTCTCCCAAGATGTGGGGTGAGAGCATACGGGAGGTTGAGTCCAGAGGATCCACAGCAGGATAGATACCAAGCTCAGAGATCTTTACAAGGACAACAAAAAAACGTGTGAGATTTTACCTTCACTATCAAGACAATGCATCGGATTGTTGCATACGATGCATCAGACAGAAACAAGTTCCCACCTGTCTGGATAACACTGTCGTGGCATCCAAGTGAGCAAAAGTTGTGGCAGGAGCAGGATCTGTCAGATCGTCAGCAGGGACATAGATGGCTTGGACAGAGGTGATAGAACCCTTCTTGGTGGTTGTGATACGCTCCTGAAGGGCACCAAGATCGGAAGCCAGAGTTGGCTGGTAACCGACAGCAGAGGGGATACGCCCGAGCAGAGCAGACACTTCAGAGTTGGCCTACACAAGGAGAGCGAACACGTTCAATAAGTTTACAATCTCGGTCAAATGACAAATAGATGTTGAGGGGAAGAAAACAAAGAGTGATACCTGGGTGAAACGGAAAATGTTATCAATGAAAAGCAACACATCTTGGCCCTCAGCATCACGGAAGTACTCAGCAACAGTCAAACCAGTAAGTCCGACACGGGCACGAGCACCCGGTGGCTCATTCATTTGTCCGAACACGAGAGCACATTTACTCTCAGACTGGTAGATGGGGAAGGAAAATTTAAAAAAAAAAAACGAAAAGAGTCAGTCACATGCAAATTCTAAACAAAATAAAGGATATGGCAAACCAAATAGTTGCAAGATAATCAAAGGAAACCTGTTTGTCCCCTAGCTTGATGACACCACTCTCAATCATTTCTCTGTACAAGTCATTACCCTCACGGGTACGTTCACCCACACCAGCAAACACAGAGAACCCTCCTGGTGATCAGAAGAAGAAAATGCAGACATAAATCATAAAGTCAGATTCTTTTACCAGAAGATTATTAAAAACAAATGGAGATTGCCACATTTGAGCTTATAGACATACCGTGAGCTTTGGCAACATTGTTAATCAGTTCCATAATAAGCACGGTCTTGCCGACGCCAGCACCACCGAAAAGACCAATCTTTCCTCCTCTTTGGTAAGGAGCAAGGAGATCGACAACCTTAATACCAGTGGCAAGGATCTCTTGCCCAGTGGAGAGCTCAACCAAAGCAGGAGCTTCTCTGTGAATGGGCAAGTGATGGTCTGTCTCTGTCGGAGCATTCAAAAGGTAACACTTTTGGTCATGAAACATTTTCCAGAGAATGACAAATTGATTTTGGAGGATTATGGTAAAAGATCTTACTGATTTCTCCCCTCTCGTCAATGGGTTCTCCGAGAACGTTCATGATACGTCCGAGGGTAGCCCTTCCGACAGGGATCTGGACAGAAAGAACAAAACCCAGATCATCAACACAGAATAGTGTACATTATACATCAAGGATGATGATCGGAAAGAACAGAAACCAGCAGATCAGCGTTGACTCTTAGATCCCAGATCAAAGATATAGGGCTTACCGTGATGGGAGCACCGGTGTTAAGAACGCGGCGACCTCGGACGAGACCCTCGGTACCGTCCATGGCAATGGTCCGAACGACATTTTGACCCAAGTGATGAGAGACCTCAAGCACGAGCCTTGTCGGGTGATCAAGCACTTCGAGAGCGGTCATGATCGGAGGCAAACCCTCCTGGTTCTCGAACCTCACATCACAGATGGCACCGATAACTTGACAGACCTGCCCGATCGCTCCTTTTCCACTGTAATCAAAGGTTTTCTTCTGGGCATCGTCCTTCGCAGGAGTCGAAGGAGCCGCCGCAGCAGGAGCCGCGGAGGTCGCGTACTCGGAGACGCGCCCGAGGAGATGCCCACATGGAACGGCACCACGAGCGAGTGTAGGAGATGAAAGCCTAGAGAGGGAAGGGGAATTAGGGGTGGATCTGCGGGAAGAGGAACGAAGAAGCGAAGAGATAACTCTTCGAGACGCCATGAGTGAGAGAGAGCGGCTAGGGCTGGTAATGAGATCCAAGAGAGCGCATGTAATGTAGAATTGAGAAACTTCACACGTTCTTCGTCTCCGATATATTGTTGGGCTTTTCTTTTGGGCCTCTTCCTTTTTGAGCCCATTAATTATTTGAAATGTAAAACTGCATATGTAATTGATCACTAATTAATAATTAATAATCACTAATAAGATGGCTTAAGGTGAATAGTTTGGTTAACAACCAACTAATTAAATCGATTTTATCCAGATAATATATAAGCGTAATTAGTTCGAATTCGATATAAAATCCAAGCATGATTTTAAAAAAAATGAAATTCAAAACAAATAAAAATTAATTGAAAAATATATATTTTAATCAATAACGTCAAATCCGAAATGAAATAGAATCCGAATTAAACCTAACTGAATTTAATACATGAATTAAAACGAATGATTATATATATTTTCTAAATTCAAATAATTGAATTTGAATATTTGGAACGAAAACCGAAATGCCATAATAGGGGTTAAATTTTTAATTTGTTTTTTTTTTTAACTAATTGGAATTAACTTAGTTATTTATAAATAAAAGGAACAAGAAAAGGCCCAGAATAAGAGCCCAAAGTTTATGGAGCCCAACCAACAACTTCGGAACAGGTGGAGCATTTGTGAATATCAGTCTCTGACTGAGTTCACAATTCTCACGAACCCTAAGCCCCTTCTCTCTCTCTCTCTCTCACTCTCTCCCATGGCGACTCGAAGAGTCCTATCGTCGCTTCTTCGATCGTCTTCTCGCAGATCTGCCCCCAATTCAGCCTCATTCGGTAGGCTTTCATCGCCTGCACTCGCTCGTCGCGCAGCTCCATGTGGGCACCTCCTCAGGCGTGTCTCCGAGTACGCGACCTCCTCGGCCCCAGCTGGAGCGGCTTCTTCGGCTCCGGCGAAGGATGAAGCCCAGAAGAAGACCTTTGATTACAGTGGAAAGGGTGCGATCGGTCAAGTGTGTCAGGTCATCGGTGCCATCTGTGATGTGAGGTTCGAGAACCAGGAGGGTTTGCCTCCGATCATGACTGCTCTCGAAGTGCTTGATCACCCGACAAGGCTTGTGCTTGAGGTCTCTCATCACTTGGGTCAAAATGTCGTCAGGACCATTGCCATGGATGGTACTGAGGGTCTCGTCCGAGGTCGCCGCGTTCTTAACACCGGTGCTCCCATCACGGTAAGACCTATATCTTTGATCTGGGATCTAAGATTCAACGCTGATCTGCTGGCTTCTGTTCTTTCCGATCATCATCCTTGATGTATAATGTACACTATTCTGTGTTGATGATCTGGGTTTTGTTCTTTCTGTCCAGATCCCTGTCGGAAGGGCTACCCTCGGACGTATCATGAACGTTCTCGGAGAACCCATTGACGAGAGAGGAGAAATCAGTAAGATCGTTTACCATAATCCTCCAAAATCAATTTGTCATTCTCTGGACAAATGTTTCATGACCAAAAGTGTTACCTTTTGAATGCTCCGACAGAGACCGACCATCACTTGCCCATTCACAGAGAAGCTCCTGCTTTGGTTGAGCTCTCCACTGGGCAAGAGATCCTTGCCACTGGTATTAAGGTTGTCGATCTCCTTGCTCCTTACCAAAGAGGAGGAAAGATTGGTCTTTTCGGTGGTGCTGGCGTCGGCAAGACCGTGCTTATTATGGAACTGATTAACAATGTTGCCAAAGCTCACGGTTTGTTTAAGCTCGAATGTGTCAAACTTCATTTGTTTTTCAAACTATTTCCTGGAAAAGAATCTGAATTTATGTCCGCATCTTCTTCTTCTGATCACCAGGAGGGTTCTCTGTGTTTGCTGGTGTGGGTGAACGTACCCGTGAGGGTAATGACTTGTACAGAGAAATGATTGAGAGTGGTGTCATCAAGCTAGGGGACAAACAGGTTTCCTTTGATTATCTTGCAACTACATGGTTTGCCATATCCTTATTTTGTTTTGAATTTACATGTGACTGACTGTTTTCGTTTTTTTTTTTTAAAATTTTCCTTCCCCATCTACCAGTCTGAGAGTAAATGTGCTCTCGTGTTCGGACAAATGAATGAGCCCCCGGGTGCTCGTGCTCGTGTTGGGCTTACTGGTTTGACCGTTGCTGAGTACTTCCGTGATGCTGAGGGCCAAGATGTGTTGCTTTTCATTGATAACATTTTCCGTTTCACCCAGGTATAATTTCTTGTTGTCTCACATGGCAACACCTTTCTTCCAGTACTTGGGCAGTAACTAAATGGAATGAACCTGTCTGCTCTCCTTGTGTAGGCCAACTCTGAAGTGTCAGCACTGCTCGGTCGTATCCCCTCTGCTGTCGGTTACCAGCCAACTCTGGCTTCTGATCTTGGTGCCCTCCAGGAGCGTATCACAACCACCAAGAAGGGTTCTATCACCTCTGTCCAAGCCATCTATGTCCCTGCTGACGATCTGACAGATCCTGCTCCTGCCACAACTTTCGCTCACTTGGATGCCACGACAGTGTTATCCAGACAGGTGGGAACTTGTTTCTGTCTGATGCATCGTATGCAACAATCCGATGCATTTTCCTGATAGTGAAGCTAACATCTCACACTTCATTTTTGTTGTCTTTGTAAAAGATCTCTGAGCTTGGTATCTATCCTGCTGTGGATCCTCTGGACTCAACCTCCCGTATGCTCTCGCCCCACATCTTGGGAGAGGACCACTACAACACCGCTCGTGGTGTGCAGAAAGTGCTCCAGAACTACAAGAACTTGCAAGATATTATTGCCATTTTGGGTATGGATGAGCTTAGTGAAGACGATAAACTGACTGTTGCACGTGCCCGTAAGATCCAGAGGTTCTTGAGTCAGCCTTTCCATGTGGCCGAGGTCTTCACGGGCGCCCCAGGAAAGTACGTGGACCTGAAGGAAAACATCAAGAGTTTCCAGGTTAGTATCTTTCATCTGCACTCTCTGTCCTTGATTCAAAAGTGATGGTTTGCTGTGGTTTTACTTTTCATTTGCTCATAATGGATAATGCTTTGTAGTTTTTGTCTGAATCATAGATTATGTGCATTGAATTTGAATATGTGGGCAAATGATATATGTGATTCATTGCAGGGGGTGCTTGATGGATTGTATGATGATCTATCTGAACAATCATTCTATATGGTTGGAGGCATCGACGAGGTGGTTGCCAAGGCAGAGAAGATTGCCAGGGAATCGGCAGCTTAGGCAGTCTTTCTTGCTTATTTCTTCTGTCTTTTTGTGACAATAACGAAAAAAAAACCAACGCTTTTGGTGGTGGTGCTGACGGGAAAGTGACAAGTTTCCGTTATACATTTGTTTCTGGTTTTTAGCGCCAATGTGAGGGCAGAGACTTAGTCGCGGAACTGTATCCTCTGTACTGCCGGGGTAGTTGCTCCATTTTTTTCTCTGAATAAGGGAGACATTCAAAATTCTGTTGTCGGATTCTTGTCACAATGGATATTCTTGTGCCATTGATCTGAAAGTTTAAGCCTTTTTCCGCATGGATTCAACGTTTGGTGTTCCAAACCATGATATTACATCATGTTGGATCTTTGCTCTGTTTTAAGCTGGATAAGTAGAAAACAGAGCATTGAACAAGAGAACTGAACATATTGGAAACATGTATTCTGCTGTAAAACACGCACGCGGCACTCATTTCAGACAGAATTCTTCAGACCGAATCCACAGCGAAACTCAACTGTTCAGGGACATGTAAGAGAACCACTTTTTGTTTCACCAAGTGCTAGTTAGCTTTTGCTAAGAAAGTGGCCTTGGTGGCAGGATTCAGGTGCTCTGTCCTCAGCTCTACCGACTTCTACAAAGTTTGAGCTTTTTTATTTTTATCGGAAGACGTAGCATCCTTCGCATCCATCAGTTTCATCTCAATCATAAATGATCGAACTTGCCATGGAAATTCTTTTCTCAGAAGGAGAAGAACCCATCTCCCATCTTCTCAACTCGCTCCATAGGACATATCGAGAGTGAAGGTGATCAAAATGTTGACCAGGGGCTTCAGACGATTTCGGATTCCTCGGTTGAATCCGGGTCAGAACAATCCCATTTCGAGTGTTCGTCACTGGAATCCGAATTCGGGTTCGATGGGCTTTGGGTGGAGAAGATGGTTGTCGAGCGAGAGTGGGAAACGGTTCGCGGCGATGTGGGGAAGCGGAGACTTCGGGAGATTAGGGCTGAGAAACTTGGAATCTCGGTGGCGACCCGCCGTCTGCTCCGCCTTGTCTGAACATAGCATCTCAGCCCTGGCTTGCGGCGGAGCTCACACCCTATTCCTCACCGGTGAATTTTTCCCTCCTGAAAAGTGTTTTTTTTTTTATATATATTTTGGAATTCTGAATCTTTGATGTCCGAAATCGCTTACGGTAGTGGAAGAATGGTGCTTGCTTTTGTCTTTGGCCGCAGCTTGTAGATAGACTCATTGGTCTGTAAATTAGGCCATTTTGGTTCTGATCGTTTCGGCTTTAGCCGCAAATGATCAGACCAATTAGTGTGTCTGGTCGTGGGCTTCTGTGATATTCATGATGTCCTGACAAAGCCCTTTGGGGTTCATGTTTTCATCAATCTGAAAATATTTTCTTTCTTCTTTTTGGGGTGGGAAAAGGCTGAGTCTTTTCTCTGATAGACGAATTTTTTGTTCTTGGCTTTGTTTACTTCTTCTTTAAGTTGGTTATGGATTGTCGAGGATGTCGGCAGTATTTGAGTTGTAACTTACCATAGCTTCTTACTTATGTGACAGAAACTGGGAGGGTCTTTGCAACAGGTCTTAATGATTGTGGTCAACTTGGTGTATCAGGTGTTAAAGCTTATACTATGGTATGGTAACTACTGATATCATAAGCCTAGGATTTCTTTTTTTGGTTATCCCAAATGGCTGATGGTTCAAGCTGAAATGGAAAACGGATGAAGAAGCCATTTGAAACTAAACCAGCAAATCAGCAGTGAAGGATTGGGATAGTATGTGCCTATTGTAGTATAATTTATTGCTTAAAGGAATGCCCCCTGCACTCTTGTCCCTATTTTACTTGTAGTCGACACCTTTCAGGCCAAAAGACGATAGGGTTGCGGGCTTTTCTTTTCGGTTCTTTATCTCGTTTTTTGATGTATCATTTTGTTTCAGATGGTCTGGTGTTGATTTATCATTTTCCATGTATTGTTGCTTGCATAAAAATGTTGCAGGAGCCTCTTGAAGTTCTTGGATTAAAGGATGTTCTGTACGTCTCAGCTGGTTATAGTCACTCTGCTGCTATCACAGGTACTTCAATTACGTCTGATCTGGCATATAAACAACGGTACTCGTTGACATTAGCATGTCCTGAATCTGAAACAACGCCCTTCTGTTTTCAAAACTAGGCCAAATGAAACCGTGTCCGACTTACCCTGGGGTCTGTTACATAGATTAGTCAATGGTAAGACTTTTGATCCTTATAGTTGACTTTAGGCCGACCTTCTTCTCTCATCTGGGTTCAGGGAGCATCTTCAATGGCAGAGCTACCTCCTCATCTTGTTTCATATCATAACAGTGCATTCTCTTTGGGTGAAATTTGCTCATATCGATGATTGCATAATTAAAACTGGTTGTATTTTGTACGAAATAGCAGAGTTCTCCATGTATATATACATATATATGTGTGTGCACAGATTCATGTGCATTGACAAATGCTTTCTTGATATTTTCTCAGTTATTTTATTTATTCATTCTCTTTGTTTGCAGTGGATGGAGAGCTCTATATGTGGGGAAAGAACTCAAGTGGACAGCTTGGATTGGGAAAAAGTAACTGTCATTTCCTTCACTTAAAACAAGTTCTTCTATGTTACATGCCAAAAAAGGCTTGCTAATACATTTACCTTTCTGTGCATTTCTGATATAGAAGCGGCGAAAGTGGTTCACAGTCCTGTCAAAGTGGAGTCTTTGAATGGAATCACCATCAAATCTGTGGCGTTGGGTTCAGAGCATTCAGTCGCAGTTACTGGTCGGGATCCGAGATTCTTTTAGTATTACCGAAGCTAATTCTTCTTTCTCTTTTCAATGTATGGATAAAGCTTAGTAGTATCGCTTTCTGTGGACAGATGGTGGTGAAATTCTGAGTTGGGGAGGAGGAGGCTCCGGAAGACTTGGTCATGGTCATGAGTCCACCCTTCTCGGTATCTTGAGAAGTTCAAGGTTGGGTTTTTTTGGCTAATTGCCTGCAAAATCTTTTCTTTTTACCTGCATAAATTTCTCTTCCTAAATGGTCCACTGTATCTATCAAGATTTCTTCGTATTTTTCTTATCCTGATTTATAAAGTATGCCCCAACTTGCAGTGAATTCACTCCAAGACTTATCAAGAAACTTGAGGGAGTCAAGGTTAATCTTTAGCCAAAAGAAATTCTAGTTATTAAGTGGTGGCTTTTATCTTTTCTCTTTGAATTCTTTGCTGATGTTTGTCCGTTTTATTTTTCGAACAATAGGTTGAAAACGTTGCTGCTGGTTTGCTGCATTCAGCCTGCACCGATGGTATCGGTTTGCTGATGATTACGGTTTAACGGGCCAATATTCCAACTTTTCTGAGAGTTTTGGTTCTCGGTGATAATGCAGAAAATGGATCTGCATTCATATTTGGAGAGAGAGCCATCAATAAGCTGGTAAAGAAATTTATTTGCCATAGTTACATGATTTCCATCAAAGGTTTTTTTTCTTTCCCCAAAGTTAGTTCATCTAAAAGTTCCAGGGATTTGGTGGAGCAAACAATGCTACAACCCCTTCCATTATCAGTGAAGTGCCTTATGCAGTAGAAATTTCATGTGGCGGCTATCATACATGTGTCGTGACAAGTAATTTTTTTTTTTACTTCTGTAATATTTCTTCTGTGAGTTTGTATAGTTTCTCATCTCTTAAAAGTTTATATATGCATATACATATACATATATATATATGTATATCTTGCTTCTGGTTTGTCATTTCCTTTCAAGTCCCAGTATGTATGGATCCATTTATACGTAGTAAGCTTTTCCATGGTGTTTCTATTATTGTTCTCGCAGGAGGTGGAGAACTATACACATGGGGTTCAAATGAAAACGGCTGCCTCGGGACAGAGTGCGTGTTTCGAATATCTAAGTTCGGAAACCACGGGAAATAGCCTTATTACGATTATCCGTGTCCTTTTTCAGATCTAGGGATGCCTCTCATTCACCCGTGAGAGTCGAAGGTCCTTTCTTGAAGTCTTCTGTTTCCAAGGTTTGGATTGTATATCTATACATGCCATTTGTGAAAGTAGTTCCGTTTCATCAGTTAATCCATTTGCTCGTCTTATTGAAATTGTTCCCAAGAATGGGATTCTCCCGATCTTTAGATGAAAAGTTACCTTCGGGTTTGTCTTGTGAAGGCACATTTTACGGGTTTTTTAACTTTACGGACCTTGTTCTGTCCAGCTATTTCTGGTAGCATCTCTAAATCAAAACACCGTTTTTTTGTATGTACGTGTATTTCTCGTATATTCCGTTTATTTAGCCCGCGTTTCGCCTTGATCTTGTTCGTAGGTGGTAATGTCTTCACCTGGGGATGGGGAGGTTCCCATGGCACTTTCTCCATCGAGGGACATTCTTCTGGGGGACAGTTGGTTCGTTTCCGCCTCTCTCCCCGATGCTAAACCGCCTCAATCACGCTAAATTCATCGATTCAATACGGTATAGTATGCTTATCTGAATGTATGTATGTAGGGTCATGGTGATGATGTAGACTACTCGACTCCAGTTATGGTAAACCTCGGAGACGATGTAAGAGCGACACAAGTATCGTGTGGGTTCAATCATACCGGGGCAGTTCTTGAATACGTCTGAGAAGTCGTGTCTATGCCGAAACTCGCAATCATAGAGAAGAAAAGAAATATGCTTTCCGCATCCCGGGTAACGTTTAGTTTCTTCATTCTTTCCATAACCTTGTAGTCGAGCATGTTCATCAAGAATCGGCATTTGATGCCTGGGTTTTCTTTATTAAGCTTGTTAGATATTGTAATGCTTTGTAGAATAAAGTACAGTTCCCATGTACATAGGAACACAGAGCAAGTGCCTTTTACTAATGGTAGATTATCATTTGAGATCTCAGGGCTCTTTCTGTCTACAGTATTATGTATTATACAACAAGAATGTGTGTGTGTATATATATATATACTGTCGTCTATTATACAGGCGGTGGGGGGTTTTGATGCATACATGTTCACATATATATGCAAAATACTGTACTCCTCTTCCCTGTTTCTATTACAGTTTTTTTTTTTTTTGTGTAACCGATATCCTAGACCAAAAACCAGACTAATCCTAGGGCTCTTTCTCTCCCCTGGGACTGAAATAATTGGCGAGGCGTTTCACGGCGACTTTCGTCTTGTCCGGAAGCACGCCTCTGTAAACTTTTCCGAAACCTCCTTGCCTGATCAAGTCACTTTCGCTGAAACTATCAGTCGCGAGTTGGATATCCCGCAATGAAAACCTCTTCAGCTGTCCGAAAGAAATCTTCACCTACGCATTTCAAGAATGTCCGGAAAAAGTTCTTTTTTTTATAACTGAGTATCCTGGGTCGAAATTCAGACTAATCTCGCGGGGCCGGAAACTATCCATATGATTTGAATTATACGTTCCGTCTCTAACTTGAGGCTTGAATTCGGGATGATACATACGCTTTGTGTCCCCGTTTCACCAGTTGAACTATCCAAGTTGGATGAATGTCCGGAAAAAGTTAGGAGCAACAAATCCTTTGTGTAGGTCGATTTCATTACAAGAATCTGAGATCACCATACTGGTTGGTTGGTGTAAGAAGGTTGTTTTTACCAGCAGCATCCTCGAAAACGTCGTGTTTGGTTCTGCGGAGACGGTGGAGATGGCAATGACTCTTAGTTTTGATTTGCAAAGACGAGAACCACAGAAGAATTCTTAGCTGCATAAATTAACCCGCATGCCAAAAAGTGGGTTTTTTTCAGAACTTTCCAATTAATATTTATGTTCAAGAAATTTTTATTTCATTTTATTCAGTTTGAATTTGATTTTTTTTTCAGATTTAAAAAAAAAATCTTTCGGTTTTTAGATTCGTATTCGATTCGATTACATTGATGTATTATTTGGTTCAGATCGGTTCGATAATAATTAGGTTATTAACCAAATTTCCTATCCTTTACATAAACTTCATGTTTACACTTCAAATATTAAATGGGCTGTGTAGAAATGGAGCAAAGAGGAGGAGGCCCAAAATCAAAGCCCAATAACATAACGAAGAACGTGTCAAGTTTCTCAACTCTACATTACATTATATGCGCTCCCTTGGATCTCATCACTAGCCCTAGTGCTCTCTGTCTCTCTCACTCATGGCGTCTCGAAGAGTTATCTCTTCGCTTCTTCGTTCCTCTTCCCGCAGATCCGCCCCTAATTCCCCTTCCCTCTCTAGGCTTTCATCTCCTACACTCGCTCGTCGTGCCGCTCCATGTGGGCATCTCCTCGGGCGCGTCTCCGAGTACGCGACCTCCTCGGCTCCTGCTGCGGCGCCTCCTTCGACTCCAGCGAAGGATGATGCCCAGAAGAAGACCTTTGATTACAGTGGAAAGGGTGCGATCGGTCAAGTGTGTCAGGTCATCGGTGCCATCTGTGATGTGAGGTTCGAGAACCAGGAGGGTTTGCCTCCGATCATGACTGCTCTCGAAGTGCTTGATCACCCGACGAGGCTCGTGCTTGAGGTCTCTCATCACTTGGGTCAAAATGTCGTTAGGACCATTGCCATGGACGGTACCGAGGGTCTCGTCCGAGGTCGCCGCGTCCTCAACACCGGTGCCCCCATCACGGTATGCCCTCTCTTTTTTATCTGGGATATAGGAGTCAACGCTGATCTGTTTGCTTCTGATCTCCGCGATCCTTATCCTTAGATGTGAAATGTCCAATATTCAGTGTTGATGATCTGGGCTGTGTTCTTTCTGTCCAGATCCCTGTCGGAAGGGCTACCCTCGGACGTATCATGAACGTTCTCGGAGAACCCATTGACGAGAGAGGAGAAATCAGTAAGATCTTTTACCATAACCCTCCAAAATCAGTTTGTCATTCTCTGGACAAATGTTTCATGACAAAAAGTGTTGCCTTTTGAATGCTCCGACAGAGACCGATCATCACTTGCCCATTCATAGAGAAGCTCCTGCTTTGGTTGAGCTCTCCACTGGGCAAGAGATCCTTGCCACTGGTATTAAGGTTGTCGATCTCCTTGCTCCTTACCAAAGAGGAGGAAAGATTGGTCTTTTCGGTGGTGCTGGCGTCGGCAAGACCGTGCTTATTATGGAACTGATTAACAATGTTGCCAAAGCTCACGGTTTGTTTAAGCTCGAATGTGTCAAAACTTCATTTGTTTTTCAAACTATTTCCTGGAAAAGAATCTGAATTTATGTCCGCGTCTTCTTCTTCTGATCACCAGGAGGGTTCTCTGTGTTTGCTGGTGTGGGTGAACGTACCCGTGAGGGTAATGACTTGTACAGAGAAATGATTGAGAGTGGTGTCATCAAGCTAGGGGACAAACAGGTTTCCTTTGATTATCTTGCAACTATTTGGTTTGCCATATCCTTATTTTGTTTTGAATTTACACGTGACTGACTCTTTTCGTTTTTTTTTTTAAATTTTCCTTCCCCATCTACCAGTCTGAGAGTAAATGTGCTCTCGTGTTCGGACAAATGAATGAGCCCCCGGGTGCTCGTGCTCGTGTTGGGCTTACTGGTTTGACTGTTGCTGAGTACTTCCGTGATGCTGAGGGCCAAGATGTGTTGCTTTTCATTGATAACATTTTCCGTTTCACCCAGGTATCACTCTTTGTTTTCTTCCTCCCAACATCTATGTGTCATTTGACCGAGATTGTAATCGTGTTCTCTCTCCTTGTGTAGGCCAACTCTGAAGTGTCTGCTCTGCTCGGGCGTATCCCCTCTGCTGTCGGTTACCAGCCAACTCTGGCTTCCGATCTTGGTGCCCTTCAGGAGCGTATCACAACCACCAAGAAGGGTTCTATCACCTCTGTCCAAGCCATCTATGTCCCTGCTGACGATCTGACAGATCCTGCCCCTGCCACAACTTTTGCTCACTTGGATGCCACGACCGTGTTATCCAGACAGGTGGGAACTTGTTTCTGTCTGATGCATCGTATGCAACAATCCGATGCATTGTCCTGATAGTGAAGCTAACATCTCACCCCTCCTTTTGGTTGTCCTTGTAAAAGATTTCTGAGCTTGGTATCTATCCTGCTGTGGATCCTCTGGACTCAACCTCCCGTATGCTCTCGCCCCACATCTTGGGAGAGGACCACTACAACACCGCCCGTGGTGTGCAGAAAGTGCTACAGAACTACAAGAACTTGCAAGATATTATTGCCATTTTGGGTATGGATGAGCTCAGTGAAGACGATAAGCTGACCGTTGCACGTGCCCGTAAGATCCAGAGGTTCTTGAGTCAGCCTTTCCATGTGGCCGAGGTCTTCACGGGCGCCCCAGGAAAGTACGTGGACCTGAAGGAAAACATCAAGAGTTTCCAGGTTGGTATCTTTCATCTGCACTCTCTGTTCTTTACTCAAAAGTTGATGGTTTGCTATGGTTTTACTCTTCATATGCTCATGAATGGATAATGCATTGTAGTTTTTGTCTGAATCGTAGATTATGTGCATTGAAACTGAATATGTGATTCATTGCAGGGGGTGCTTGATGGATTGTATGATGATCTATCTGAACAATCATTCTATATGGTTGGAGGCATCGACGAGGTGGTTGCCAAGGCAGAGAAGATCGCCAGGGAATCCGCAGCTTAGGCCGATCCTTTCATCTCTCGCTTAAACAGAGCTTCTTGATGGGTCGGATGCGTTGTGGAATGTGTTTAAGTTCCGAACTCATCGGGTTTCATTATGGTGAAGACATAGTTGTTCATTCACTCGGAGGGCAAGTCCCTTTTGAGTTTTTTTTTTTTTTTTTTTTTTTTTTTTGCTTTTGTAAAGGGGGAGACAGAGAAACAATTGTTTTCTAAAGGGATTTCTTTACTCAAATAAAAAAAAGTACAGCTCTTTTTTTTTATTTATGAAATATCCATCCTCAATTTAAATAATGACTTTTTTTTTTCTTCCAGATTTTCATTTTGTGGCCTTTGATATTATTCATTGCTACGAAATATCAATCCATATTGGTATTTAAAAATTTTAATTGATATGAAGAAATGCCGAAATTATTGGATAATAGTTTTCTTGTACAGAGAAATTAAATTATTAAAGTTTTCATTTACATAAAGTACCCGCAAACTTTAAAAACTCTAAATTTTCACCCCAAACGTTACTGTATTCACAGTCTGACCCCTAAAATCAACGAAAACTCGGTTGATTTTTGCATCCGATCGATTCATTACAGCTAGAATTGCGAAATAAAGGTAATAAAAAGAGAAATCGGGGTGAAAGATTCAAACTTTTTGTTCTTGAGAGCGATGTGGAAAGGTGGGAGACACGTGATGGGTAAGTTTTTGCAAATAAAAGTCTCGTCAATGCGAAGTGATCTAACATGCAATTGGAAACCATTTTCTGGGTTTTAGAGCTCTCTCTTCTCTCGTCTCTCTGTTCTTGAAACCACACAGAGAGAGATTGCGACAACTGATTGATTTTTTTTTTGGGTGAAAAGCTGTTCCATGCACAGAGAGAGAGAGAGAGAGAGAGAGAGAGAGGATGTGAATTGTGATGTGAAAGAAAGAAGACGAAACTCTCTGAATTTCTTGAAGACCAAACATTGCATCCTTGTATCCGCAGAACTTCTATTTCATGGACCCTCCAAAGAAAAATAAGTGATACATGCATGCATACATACATACATACATATATACATACGTGTATGTATATATGTTTGTGCAAAGAACCCAAGAAAACTCCATTCATAGACTAAGATACCTTTGTTCTTTGACTCCCGAAAGCTCTCCACTATCTTTTTAGTTTAGGCATTCTATATGAAACTCGCGTTTTCTGAGCGTACGTAAGTACGAAGAACATGAAGCCATGGGCTTTGATTACAACAACACCAACAATACCATCATCATCATCGTCATCATCATCAAAAAACAAACAAAGACGAATAGACCAACACTGAGCTCACACGTGCGGAACATTAAAGATGTGAAGCAAGAACAAGAACAGTAACAGTGATGATAAAGATGATGATGATGTCGGAAATTAAAGGGCGAGAATTCGGTTGGGGGGAATGAAGCCTGGTCCGAGAGTCATTTAGGGTTTTCATCTTTTCAAATGGTGTAATTGTCTCTCGAGCCAGACAACATTCCTCTCAACGTTAAGCCCCCGCTTCTCTCAAGAAAGAAGAAGAAGGAGAAGAAAGACAAAACTTTCCAAAGCTGTGTAAGGGGAAAGCATGACAGGCACATGCCCATGTTTCTTCTACATATATAGAGGCCGGGGTGGGTGAGCCCATTTTCTTGTTTTTAAAATTAATACAGAATCTAAATTTTAATATAGTTTTATCTTTTTATTTTATTAGCTTTGGTTGTCTTTATTTAGGGTTTAATTAGGGTTTACCTGAAATAGCATTTACAGGGAAACTCCACAAACTTGTATTTCCTTTTGCTTCCTCCCCCCCCTTGGTCTTTATCTCTTATTTAATTTCCTTCATTTCCGAGGTCAACAACCCTCTACTCTTCTAGCTATACACATGTACACATATATATACACACATGTATATGTGTAACACCATATATGAACTGATGGTCAAATGGGGAATTTTACTGAAATGACCCACTTGGGTCGCACCTATTTCATGTGTACACCAGAAAAAACATAACATTTTTTTTGTTGAAAAGACGAAATTACCCTTAATGAATACGCGATTTTTATCCGTTCGAAAACAATTTCGTTATTACGACTTCGTAATTAATTCTAAATATAGTTACAATTGATTCTAAAAAAGGTGGCAAAAAAATCATGTGTCTTATTTTAGTTGTATATCAGTTATATGTTAGTTGTAATAAGGTCGCAAAAAATAAAACGAAAAGGATATTTTGGACTTTTCCAACCGAAAAGTCGGTTAAAATTGAAAAAAAAAAATTCAGTGGTGTACACTGAAATTGTTGCGACCCAAGTGAGTTATTTGAGTAATATTCCCGGTCAAATGCTTAATGGTCCTACGTCTTTATTACAAGTATATACGTTAATTTTGATGAGAAATAATTAATATTAATTACACATTGTTTAATACTTCATAATCTTCCTCGCGTTATATTCCTACGTACGGATGTACACAACATTAACTCACTACACAAGGAAGTATTATAGCTTATTATATATGTGTATGTATATATATATATCTCCTTTCATTATTACCTTATTATTTCTTGCTCCCACAGTCCACGACAGCTGCTAACGTAATTTTATTTTATTTTTATCGTTTCTAACATATGAAATATATATATATATATATATATATTACATTCGTATGAGTGAAATAAAACTATGTACATACTCATGGGAGGAATAGGTTTTCTATATTTATATTGTTTTATTACGTATATATACACACTTTACCCGTTACCTAAATATATATAATGTATATCAACACACACACACACATATTATATATATACATATACACACAAAATGTGTGTATATGTGCGTGTGATGGACACTTAATTAATATGAAAAGGACGAAACACTCGATTTGGGTTCGCATCGGTTCATGCCACATTTTCCTCTATAACATCAGTTTCCTCTCCCAGAAATTGCTTTAATATCCCTTTCCAAATTACCACATTTAAGATAATTGTATGATCACCTATGAAATTATATGAAATAATCGCATGACACTACCAAAGTTTGTGTGGTAATCCATTATCTTCTTTTCAATATATATATATATATATATATATATATATAGCTTAGTTTTTAATAGCATTATGCCGTCCTTTTACAATACTAAAAAGTTAATATAATCATTTTATATATGTCAGATATTTTCGTTGAATATTTAAAGACAAAAAAAATCAAGTCCATATAAATTAAAATATTTAAATTCAAGAAAAAAATGGATATTAATATATAATTAAAATTAATTTTAATATTAATATACCATGTTATGTTTAATTGAAGAACAAAAATGGGTGGGTTAGTTATTTAGGGAGAGTCTGAAAGGCCTAGGAGCAAACACCCGAAAAACACGTCATAGCAAAGACGGCGAATGGGGAATAAATAGATCTCGACCGTCCACTGGAGACGATCGGACGGCGAAGAGAGGAGGTACCTGGGAACCGGACATGTCGGTGTCAGCGCGAACGTAGCACCGGGAACCGAGGAAAACAGCCCGCTTTTCGAGGTCCCAAAACCGCTATTACTCCTTCCTCTGACCTCTTACGTCGGTCTCCGGTCCCATTTATTTAACTCCATTTACTTATACGCCCATACACATACATACATATTACATTATATATATCTCTCTGTAAATTCTGTGACGTATGTAAAGTACCTGCGCTAGTATTTTTGTCTTACCCTAAAACACAAGAGGATCTGATTTTTCAAAAAACATGGTCAATTTTTTTTTTTTTTATAATTCGAAAATTTATCGGACCTTTAAACCGATTATATCTATCAGAATGATCATCTTCAAATGAGTATTCGAATTCGGATTGAAAAGAAACTTTGTTCCCTTCTTTATCGGTTAAGTCATATAATCTTGGATTCTATAGTCATTTTTTTCTAATAAAAAACCGTTATCAAGTTTTGTGAAATAATATATCTCTTAAATAAATTTTGAGTATAAATACCAGTATCATTTCCGTCTCGTGAACGATTGTTTCCACTTCCTTTTGCTTGTGCGAGGTCAGGTTTCTACCACAAAATTCTTAGATCTATTATCTATAAATAAATAAAAATTACTTTAATTGACACAAAAAACACACACATTCAAAATTTAACCCCACGGACATTTTCGGGTTTGATTAATTCATTATTATTTTGATTTTTTAATATTAAATTTAGTTTGATTTGATTTTATCTCCATAGAATTTTATTGATAAATATATTTGTTTTAAGAGATTTTTTATTTTTTTGTCATTTTTAATTTATTCAAATTCAATTTTTTTGAATTAAAAAAAAAGTATAGTCAATTTTTCGGTTCGGTTAATTTATTTGGTTTAGATCAGTTAATTTATTAATTCCTCCCTCCATTTCACAAAGTTTAACTTTTTAGATTTTTTTTTAAATAAAAAAAAGTCTCATGCAATCTTTAATAACTCAAAGTTTGAGCGTTATGAATAATCTATTGGAATTTTGTAACTTTTATTAAAGATAAAATTAAAAATTATTTTAAAAACCTAAAATAACAACTATTTATTAACATAAAAAAAATAGCCCAAAACGACAATTCGGAGGAAACACAGTTTACCCTTCAAATATGAAATGGGCCAAACTAAGGAATAGGCCCAAAATAAAAGCCCAAGAACATGTCGGAGGAAACGACGAACGTGTCAAGGTTTCTCAACTCTACGTTACCAATACATGCGCTCCCTCGCATCCCATCACCAGCCCTAACCGCTCTCTCGCTCTCTCACTCATGGCGCCTCGAAGAGTTATCTCCTCTTCTTCTAGACATCAGACTTGGCGATTTTCTCTTCTCGCCTGTGGTGCCCCAAATCCATCGTCTCCAACCTCTCTTTCTCTCCTGCACTTTCCGGTTTCCTCCAGCAGTTTCCGGCGGACCTCCGCTTTCTCCGGTTCTTCCG